GTTGGTTGGTATCGATGACGGTGATGCAGCTCCGGCAAGAGATAGATCGGTGGATGATAATTTTTTTTGCTTTCCCGATAAGCCAACCACGCCCCTGGTCATAAAGTACTGAGCCCGGACGCCTGTTTTTCGGCGCCTGAATCTGGATGCATGGGGGTTATTTTAGGCGCTAGCAGATACCGCCCGGAAGTGCTTGTGGGGCGGCCGTTCACTGATCGCGGCCCCACGATTGCCCTGATGCGCTGCTGGATTGGCACTGAATGGCAGCGGACGGACGGCGTGCATCAATTCATTCGTTCCGTCTGGTATCTCTGGGCTTTGGCATAGCTTCTGCAATGGAAGTGCCGTAAATCACGTACAAATTCTACAGCTCCATTCGCTACGCTTTACCTCCCAAGTCCCATGGTATCTAGATCCCCTAGCCCAACAATAAATCACAGTTGTAGCATGGCACATGGGAGTACATCAAACATTGATATGCATCGCTGTTCTGGCTACAAAAAATATGACAATAAAAACTACCGTCTGTGTCCGTGGATCAGAGACAGTTGGTTTCAAGGCCTATCAACTCACCGTGACGGTGGGTTGGATGGCACCCAAACCTGTCGCTCCCCGCCAGGCAGACTGGCAGAGGAATGACTGTGCGGCGTGCTCGGTGCGTTCCCCCCCGAGCTTTGGCCAGTGGGAATGGCGGTTCTGGTCCTGATGGCTGGCAGCTCCGATCTGCCCGACAGGATATTGTGTAGGCCAAAGGCAACTGGACCTCCTCCCGGGTCGTCGGTTCCCTGGCTCTCTGGCCGTGGCGTTTCCGCAATTGATTCAGCTGTAGTTATCGGATACACTGCCGTGCCTCCAGTAGGACTGACAAGCTCCTGCTCAGTATCAAAGTCCGGGAGCTTCTCGATTGGAGGCAGACCCATGTCCTGCCTCATCGATGTGATCTCCTCTTCTGTCGCAGACTTCCAGCTACATTTCGCATGCTTCTTGGTGCATCCTTGGCAAGCAGTGAGATGCTTCAAGCATGGCTGCCTAAGGCGGCGGCACCGGTCACAAGGAGGATGAATGCTTTCGCCTCGTCCCAATCTTTCTACGACCTGTGTGACCAAGGGCCTGAAGATGTCTAACTGGCTCTCCAATTCTGCAGCCGCAGCCCGAGCAGATATTGAACTTCTCTGGGGTTGCGAAGTTGACATAGATGGCGATGGTTGGCTTTGGCTCCATCTTGCCACTGAGGCCGATCGTGAGGGGGTGGCAGAAGGCGTAGGTTGGAGGAACTGCTGCAGAAGATCCTGATGAAGGTCATACGAGGGGTTCTGCGAGAGCTTTCGGAATCGCTGGTTCACTGATTGAAACCGTGGACCAGATTCGGTCTCCCAGTTCTGTCGTCGTCGCGCTAGGTCTTGTTTCCGCACCCCAACCTTGTGATGCAAGTTTCGGGCTCTGGTCGCCAGTTCCTCTGCTTTTCTGGAGAGGACTGAAGTTCTCTGCTCAATAATATCCATAGTGGCAAGCTCAGCGGTCTCGTCCTCTTCCATAGGATGATCAAGAGGCAATCTGTTCAGTGCACCCGAAGAAATGAAGCGCCAATCATCTTCGGAAATCTCCGTTTGATGGCCTCGACATACAAATTGGCAGCAGCGAGTGCCATCTTCCATATGAGACAGGGAAAATTCATCGGGATTCGTCTTAGCATATGTGCAAACATCCAACCAGCTAATTGGTGGGAATGGATGTGGCGGGTATGTCTTAATGGAACCCTCGAAAAACTTCTCAATCCCCTTTATCAAACGAGGGCCTGTCAACTTGGCACCGAGGCTTGCTGCGAAGCTCTCGTGTCTTTCCAAAACCCCTAGAGTGGCAAGTCAGGCTAGACCTTCAAGGGCGATCTCAAGAGATGAGAACTATCCTAGAAAACGACGACAGTTCAACATACCTTCATACTCTAGAATAAGACCGAAGAGGTCCGAGAAGGTCTCAGCATCGCCTTGGATTAGACTCAGGCGATCTGCAAGCGAGTTTGACAGATAATTGATGCCGCCTAACAAGCCCAGCGGCTAAAGTTAGCGTCATCGCGACAGCAAAAGAAAGAGATGACCAGTGGGGTGCATTGTGTCCTGAGTGATGTGATTTGTTCAGTCGTAAATGACCGTGTGGCAGATGAGAGTCGCTACAAATAGCAATGGGAAGCAATATCCAAGCTGCAAGAGCAGCAAGAACAAGCATACAGGGTCTTTGTCCTGGGAGCTACGCGCAGTCCATGTTTGCACGCGGCAGTGGCGATGGGTACCCGACATATGCACTGGTGGAGGAGTGGTCCAACAACGTGCTGGCTTCGCATTCTCCGGCACAATCGTAGAATTCACAACGTACCTTGCTGCAGAGACATCTGTTGATAGTGCCCAGGCGGAAAGCTTCCATGGCTTCCACTATCTTCTGATTCTCGTTTTCGCTTATGAGGTTCCAATTCGCTTATATGTGCCATAGTAATGGCCGGTCCCCCAACCTTCGCAAGCCAAGAGAAGGACAAGCCCTCGTTGGCAGAACCGATGGGGAGTATACAATATAAGAAACCAAATCAGGGTGCGAATAGGTCTAATGGCCTTAGCAAGAGGTAGCGAAGACCGATACGAGTGGAATAGAGAGTCGGGAGGAGAGAGAGAGATAGAAAGAGGGAAATGGTCAAAGGGAGGAATGAATAAGAGCAGGTACGCCGTTCCATCGATCACATCAGTCAAGCTATCGGGGGGTGTCCGAGTCCGGGCATCGAGAGATCGAGAGGCCTGGTCCACGACTTTGATAGTTGGGGGTTCCACTACGATCCGGACGGGCCTAGACCCAGGGATTGGACCAGGCCGTGTCAGAGGGGTGAGAAAGAGGTCTTGGTCTGAGTCCAGGGGATGGAAAAGGCGCTTAAACATATCAATGGGATCTGCGTATTTGCTTTTCATCCACCCAAGTCCAAGTGTCGCCATCCAGTGCTCGTAGGGTAGGTTTGGGGGTGGAGTCGGGGGCTGGCTGACTTTGTAGCTGGCGGATACACAACCCAGCGGCGAGAGAAGAGACGACCCGCGATGCGGCGTGATAGTGCGGGGGCAGTCTTGGTACGAAAAGCTCGACCCTAGCAAGAGCAGAGCTATGTAGATGCAGATCCCAGCACCTGGTATGGTTGCCAATATGGGCAATTGTTTCGTGAGCGGAACGGTCTCTAGTCATGACCCCTATGGCATGAGTCGTTGAGGCGATCAACGTCTTGCCATGCGCCGGGGACATGACGGCTCCGAAGCGCACTGAAAGGGAAGTCAACCAAGCACGGGCAGGGATCTGCAGACGCATGACAGCGGGAGAGAAGGCATATTTGTTCTGGTCTCACAACTGCGAAGCTGCTGGTGGCGCCAAACCCAAAGTGCAGACTGACAGGCAGCAGGGTTCAGCAAGCAGGTGCAATAAAGACATCCAGCTGATCATGGAGTGGAATCTGTGCATGCAGCGTGGGCAATGACAGTCGTATTGGCAGGACGTGGTGGAATGTCGTTGTTGTCGGAGGCGCCGCTGGCCTGGATCCCAACGGTCCCAAGCCCCACGCCTGTAGGGAAGTCACCCTGCCCTGACCTGCATCCTTCCTTCCCTTCCTGCACGATACGACTCATCTAGCAGAAGGAAGGCACCGCGCACCGAAGCCACTCCCGGACCCAGCGCCCCTCAGAGGCACCTCTGTGCTTCCATTCACTGCAAGAGCCAGTGGGGGGAGGTACTGACTCAAGCTCCGCCACCAAGTGTTCCATGACCTGTCTGTCCCTCCGTCGACAAACCCCAATCCGCCGCATCAACGGAAGACGCTACCTCCCATCAATGTTGCTCATCACCGAGCTAAAGCAGGTACATGGCCAGATACTTGCAGTCTTACCCCCCGACCACGTTTCCCCATCAGCCCATCCAGCCACTTTGCTAGCTTGACCGTCCCATAATAAGCTCCCTTCGACCCGTCTCGACCTCCAAGCCTGCATAGTGGATGCGGAGCTAGCGAATGCCTGACAGATGCGATATAGCTGCTGACCCAAAACTAACGACCAACACCAGCTGCAGTCGACTCGGTTTGTAAGACGTCTCTTGTCTCTCCCGATGTCGCCACCTATACACGTACTTTTCTTATTATAGCCCGTTGAAAATGCAACACCGCTCCATTCCCGATCCCACCACAAGGGTCGCCAATCAGCCTGCACGGAAATGAGGCCGAGCGCAGCCACTGCAGATCCAACCGTCCTCTGTATCCGCAGTGGCGTTTCCCAGCTTCTCAGGGAATGACCTCAGCTTGTGTGCCCATGCATTGCGTAGGTAGTGGAAGTTGCCGTTTTAATGGTTCAGCCGTTGGCATATAATCTGAACCAGCTTCATGCCGCACTCAGTCTCTAGGTAGTATTCTAGTCTTTGACTGGCATGGTAACTCAATAATTCGAAGACACGAAGCTAGATACCAGGAGGTCTACACCTTGTTTTTTTCTGCCTATGCAGACGAGTTTCTCGTACCATCTGTTGATCTTATACCAGAATTTGTAGTGTCCAGGATGGTCTGCTTGAAATCGTTGAGGCACCCCACGATAGATAAGCAACACGAGATGAGATCCCATCATTTTCGGAAAATTTCCCCAAGATCAGCAACACCTCCTCGTTTAATACGAAATCGCCACTCTACCCCTATCAACCTGGAAAAAATGTCACCATGAAAATCAATTCCAAATCTCTCTACACCACAAGGTATCTTCAATTCAACCAACACCAATCGCCGCGACCAAATGACAGCCCCGCGCTCCGTCCCACTCCGCCTCGTGGTATAGGGTAACCCAAACCCAGCTCCGATTTTAATTGCCCCTCCATGTGAAAGCTCCCAACACCCTGCGACAACGATCACACGTCCAATCCCAACCGCAACCACAAACCCGCCCTCCCTCGCCAACCCGACACCCCATCCCACACACACACAGACACCGAACCCCGAGCGAACAATGTCCGAGAGACCTTCCCACCGAGGCGGAGGCCGTGGCGGCGGCGGCGGCCACAGGGGAGGCGGTCACCGGGGAGGTGGCCGCGGCGGAGCTCGAGACGGCGGCGAGCGCGAGCGCCCCAAGAAGGAGAACATCCTCGACCTGAGCAAGTACATGGACAAGGAGATCACCGTTAAGTTCAACGGCGGCCGCGAGGGTAACAGCCAACCCCCCTCTGGTCTTGGGTGGAGGACTGAAACGCTGACACTTTGCGAATGACTAGTACGCGGAACGCTAAAAGGTTACGACGCTCTAATGAACCTCGTCCTGGACGATGGGAAGGAAACAGTCAGAGGTGAGAAACGTGCCACCGGGGGACTCTTATGGTTCCCATTTTATGGTTGAATTGGGGTGCTGATATGTTGCGATGCGCATAGATGATCAAGGAAACGAGTCGACGAGATCCCTCGGCCTTGTCGTTGCCAGAGGAACCCTTCTGGTTCTCGTCAGCCCCGTCGATGGCAGCGAAGAAATTGCCAACCCTTTTGCCCAAGCTGAGGAGGACTGAGCGCATCTGTTGATGAAGCAGAAATAAGAAAACGAAAATTGACGGCACTTGTTTGAATGCGAAAGGCCTAGTTATCACGGGTGATACTTCACGGTTATATTTATTACGTCCATCTCCTGCTACGCTCATGGGTTTGGCTGCGTAGGTTTCGGGGGTTGGATTCATGGGCATACAATTTGCGTTGCTTTGGGACTGGAAGACAGTGTATCGTCCTCTCCATGTGGCTGGAGAATAGGACGTATAAAGGCAATTCAATACTCGCTTCGAAATCATCTCACGCCACTTGCTAAGCGACTATATACAATGACCAAAAAAAGCATTTACAAGAGCGCACGCATTTAAAACACGTTATTGTATTGATTGAAATTTCGCTGGTCATCTACCTTCTGCCGGTAAACATATCGTCCGAGGGGGGCAGATCATTCCTATCCACAGCCGTGAAGCCTCGAATCATACCGTCTGCTATGCTCATAGATATATAACCGCTATCCTCCTCTTGTGTACAAAAATCTCGATGCTCTGGATGTACCCAAACCAAGTCTGTTCTGTCTCGTACCTAAGCTTCCCAACAATTTATAGTTTTCCGGTTGTCCATACTCTACCACTTTGTCGACTGGGCGTATCCTCGGCGGGAAGGACTTGAGAAGTTTTTGGGCCTCGGTTTCTCTTCCTACAAGATTCTGTTCGGCTTGTTCCCTCCTTTCTGAAGCTCACCGAAGGCGTTTGCTAGTTGCTTCTTCAGCTCCCTATAGCTGACGAGAAAGCTCGTTTGCTCATCTCGGCTCGTCAGACATATTCTCTCGTCTGTGCCGGCGTCCAGCTTATTCATGCAGCGAATCATGTGTCCCATGTCAAGCACGGGCTCCCCGTTACTGTCCACTTGGTGAAACACATAATCCCTGAAAAGCTTGAGCATATATCGCTCGCCGTTCTCCGACCACGCCCGGTCGCCGTCAAACTCTTGCCGCTCATTGACCGTGGCCAACTTCATCATCAACCGGGCGATTCTACCGTTCTCAAGTTCCCTGTACAGCTCAGAGCTTAGTTGGTCCGTGGTTTGCAAATCTTGGTCAAACACGGCAATGGTGTGTGTGGCGATGCCTCGAATAAATTCATCGATGCCCTTTTGGGCAGGGGGTGCTTGAGGCGTCAGAAGCCACAGGATCGTATCCCGCAGTTCAACTGAGTATGTTCGGCTCATCTGCTCGATAGATGCTTTGAGATTCGTAAGGTGGGTGGGGAGAGTAAGGGTGGCGATGCAGAGGATGGTGCGTCCAAACTGGATCAAGTCTTCTTGCTGTAGCTCCTGGACAGGACGACGGTTATCGAACTGGACGACATCGAGGACGGAGCATGCATTCAGTCTTATCCGGTTCTTATCCGTAACAATAATCTTCGAAACATCGACACAACGGGCCGCGAGGTTGATGGAATGAATGGCTTTGAGGGCGTTGGCGATTTGTGAAATATAACTCCAGAGGACACTCTCGGGGATACTGGATTTCTGATATCGATTGCCTTGGCTGGGGCTAGGTGTAAGGTGAGCCTCGGCTAAGGTTTTCGACAATGGGTGATAGTCTTGGACAAAGATGAGTGAGCTGTCTCCGAATGATCTGGTCGTGAACGCATCGTGAGTAGTCACTACACTGCCGTTGTTAATCCGCCTCCACTCCTTGACGGATCTAATAGCCTGCTCATTGCTAAGTCGGAAGCCCTCTAATCTCCTTAAGCAGTATATTCTGCCTGATTTTGTAGAGGTTGCCTTGTAAACCCAGCTGGGGTAACCAAAAATGTTGGCATTCTTTCTATGAGTGGTATCCAGAGCCACCAATGAGTGATAGTTGTCCAACTGGGGTAATTGAGAGTTGGGCATCACTTGGAGAGTTGCCTCTGCTCTCTTCTGATATTCTTCCCGGAGCTTCTCTGGCATGAAGAAGTCGTGGGTCATGCGTTGGTAGGGCATGAGATCTTCACGGTGAGGGCCAACCGCAGCGTATAGATGGTGCTGGAGTGGTTGGAGAGGGGTGGCAAAAGCTCCCTGGGGCTGGAAGAAAGCTGCCCCTGCACTACTTAGCGCAGCATGGTCATCGGCATACGGGTTGTACGGGGTAGCGGGGAGAGCTTGCCCAACGGTGGACATGGCAAACGGGTCGTAGGACACGGAGGCATCTTGCGTTGATCCATTGGAGGTAACCTTGTACGACCGATAAGAATGTGTAGCACGGGGGAAAGCATGATTAGGCCAAGTCGTCTTACCGATGAGTTAAGTTCGAAGCTAGGGGTAAATTCACGGATCGCGGCCGGATTGAAGGTTCCGGCCGTGTCATTTTCTGAAGTTTGAGTTGGCGTGGAGGCTGACGCTGGTTAGTCCCGAGTCGGTTGTATGCATGAAAGAGACCTGGCTTACATCCTAGTCCTCGCGGAGTAAATGCAGGTGCATTGGCAGCTTGAGTGCTGAGAGCACCCTTCTTGATAATCGTTGGGATAGTTGCAGGAGTGAATGATGGGGACTCGACATTCAAAGACTTCTTGGAGCTAAGAGCCAGAGTCGTTAGCTTTTTCATCCAGAGCACCAATGTGACAATAACCAGGGTAGTTTCCACAGTTGAATCTTGTCCTACGCAGTCGGTCCGTGGGCTTGCAAAGTAGGGTGGCATCAGAATCCGGGAGAGATCAGTAGGGTTATCGACGCCAATCAGGTTGCTGAACCATTTCCAAGCTCATACAAAGGCTAAAAACTATCCAGTGCCAGATCTGGACCCAGAGCTCTCGCAGATGGATTTGGCTGGTGCTTGGGGCGCGGACCCCAAAAAAGAGAAGGCCCCAAGATTATCCCTGCTTGAAACATTTTTTTTTGTTGTTTAAGGAGTTCGGCGCGCGCATGGAGAGATCATATTTGGTTTCGCGAAATCCTCGACCGTATAACGTTTGGTCAATGGCCGCACACACAAGCCGACGATGCATACATGACCCAATTTCCCCCTCTTGATGAGAACATATTTGTATTCGACTCGATCGTAACGGATTCGGCCACGACGGATGGGCAATCACACAGATGTAACCATGGAACATGGAACTCGAGGGGCGCGTGCGCCCGTGGACTGGGCTGGAAGGGTACCTACATATCGGCTTGGTTTGATTTGCCTTTGTTCTGATCGTGGCTAAAGGTGCAGCCCTGGTCTTCGTATCGACAGTGGCCGTAGATCAAGACGTTTCGGCAGAGGGTGTCCTTGTTCTCTGAGATGGCGGCGAAAGGTTAGCAGCGAGGAAACAGAAACAAGCTTGATCCGTTAGGGGACTGTTCGGCCATACCCCGCCCCTTCGACCGCGGCGATCCAACCTGGCGACGAAGATCACTGTTGGCCTGGTATCGCGTCGCAGCCATCTTGTGCTGGCAGTGTGATGAGGATGCCTCCGCTACCCGATACTAGGAACACTGCTTGACAATTAGCCAGGCGTGGCGACGCGGGGTGCCGCTGCTGGGCGAGAGCACAAATGCCCGCGTGTCTGGTTTTGCGATGGGCGGGCATAGGTGGCTTCGATCTAATCTGACCTGGCGACAAGGGAGGGGACTGACCTTTGACGGCGGAGCACTTCCCATGGCTCGCTTTCTCGAGGCGCTGTGCCGCCCATGAAAATGTAGGAATACAGCTAGGAAGAGCCGTGGCGGTCACGGCGAGGATAATGAGCGAAACTATATTCTTGTATGTGCGAGAGGAGCGAAGACACAGGGTCGAAGTGCGGTGCGGTGCGTGCGTGGGGGAGGGAGAGGATGGAGTCGAGTCTTTCAGGTTGGCGGCGGACGTGACAAGGATGGATGGGGGATGGCACCTAACCCAAGTCTGTAGCGAGCAGGTAAGGTGCATGCTCCTGTTGTTGGAGCCAGTGGTATCGCGGCCAGGTTTCAGATCTGGAGGTACCTTCCCGTACAATCTGAGTGTAGAGGTACGGCGTAGAAATGACGAAGGACGGTGGTAGAGGGGTCTTACGGAGGGATATGCGGTTAAAGGGTCGCTTGCCTCTGCAGAGGGTTTAGTCGTTGCGCTAAAGATAGCACCAACCACATAGCCAGTCGTTGTGATCGTCGGCTGCTGTACCGCTGCACCATAGGTAACGGGTGCTCTAAGGCCATGCGCATCCACTAGCGACGTCTGTGTCTGCCCAGTTGCGGGTGAACGTGTAGGCCGACTACAGATAAGGGCAGCCCTGGGCCATTGACTCAATTGGCCCTTGGTAAGGCACCAATGTATCACATCGCATCGCAGCGACTCCCAGCCCCTTTCGACTGCAGTCCCAAGGGAGCGGTTGCAGGTGATGCGATGCGCGGCCTTCTGCACCGCGTTTATGCAATTATGGGCGATGTGACCCCGCCATCCGTGAGCTTGCAGCTAACTTGGGACCCGCCCTTGGGTGACAGAAGAAGTGAGACATCAGATTGAAGGGTGGTTATGAGCAGACCGCCTTCACAATGACCGGAATAACGCAAGAGTAAAGGAATAAGATTTATTATATCCTAATCATTCGAATATTGATCGCAGACTCGAACATAAAATAATTGGGAATGTCTCAAATTCAATGTCACCCGCTTGTCGCTGTGGCCTTGACCTGGAGCAGGTTCCGTCCAATGGCCTTGGGCTGGGCTCCGCCCACTGGAAAGCTTGAGGTGGGCTTTCCAACTGGAGAGGTACTTGCCGTATCCGTGTCCGTGACACAACCATCACCTAAGCCAAAATGCTGGCTGCTTATCGAGTCCGTTATCGCCGCATGAGCTCATCACCCTCCACCTGTCCATTGCATTTGCCTGGCTCAGCACGGCCACCTCCCTGTCTTCAACGCACAGCTTTCGCGAAACCTTCCATCACTTTTACTTTTCGCTCCCTGAGTTTATTTGCCCGACGCCTGTCCTATAATACTTTCGTCCATCCTTATTCTATAGATTTTTTCTTGTGCTGTACGTGGCATAAACTGCGTCAGCGCATCGCATCTGGCCGTCGATCTTG